AGGAAGAGGATGTGCTAATGTTCCCTGACTAGAGAACTGACTTGGAATTTGGAATGCTTTGTAATTAAAATCATCATTAAGTTTCTATTGTCCTAAAGTACATATGTGTGTCAACTATATTTTATATTCAATAGTATAAATTGCTATCTGTAATCACTAGCACCAGCTGTGAGAATGGTGAAATCTTAACATTTTCATAGTTTGTAGGTTTATGTCAACTGAAGATGATTCATTTCTTTATTAATATTCTTCACCTCAAATACATTTTTTTTTGCTGTGACAATAATAATTTAAGCAATAAATCACCATTTCTGCTAATAACACAAAAACAAATTCACTTCTATTTCATCAATCTTGGTAGAAATTATTTCAATTTGGCCCCCTTTACTGATTTATATTTTAACCTATCTTTGATATATTGAATACCCACTCATTTGGTTCTTATATTTCTTGGTGTTAAAGTAAATATCATTACATCTGTTTGGGCAGACGGGATACTCTAAACAGGTGCTGCCTGCCACCGCCAAGTGATGGTTTATTCATGCCAGGATATTCAACACATCCTGTAGTTTAGGGTAAACACCAGGTGGGATTCTAATCCATTCAACACAGAGCCCCTTGTTCATCCTTTCTCAGTGAATGAAAACCTAAGGGAAGCCCCTGCCTGCTCAGGGATTCTCTACACCTTTAGAAGTCACTGAATCTCACTCCAACACAACTTACAAAGAGGGTGGATCAATTACCCCCAGTCTGCTCTACCAGTAACCTATTTCTTGCATGGTCTCAGGAATTCTCAGTGAAGTCCCTGTCTGACATGTAACCATTTCTCATGCCAGTTTACTCTTTTTAGGGCTTTAGGGTTGGAGAAATCCTCTCTTCTGTCCAAGGTTGAAACTACCTAGGAGCTTTGAGTCCTTGACTCAGGACCAGATCATCCTCTTATTAGTGATAGAGAAAGACAGTGAGAAGAGGTGATTCCCCACCACAATGGGATAACCTTTGGGTCTTATGGTCATCAAAACAGAGTCTTTGGTTTCTGGGGTGAGAGTTGCCACTTTTGGACCCAAGCAGGACCATCATCAGGGGGGTTTCTAAGGAAGAAGGACATCTCTGCTTACTGATTTGACCAGGTATTATCACACAGAGGTGCAAAGGCACTGGAGTTCTGCTTCTACGGCCTTTCATGTCTTAGATGTAACAAGAAATTGGTATTAGGTGAGATAGGAGAAACCATCTATCTTGTTGAAACTGCTGTTGTTTAGGGTCTTTGTCAAGCAGTCAGGTAGGTGGTCTGATAAATGGAGTAAAATATCCTTCCTTGGAGGTCTGGACATTATAATTGCAAGAGAAGAGGCTATGTCTTTTGATAACTTTTCCATCACTCAAAGGAATAATCTTGACTATCGACAACTGGGACAAACAAATGGATGTCCCCCAATATCGATTCTCTTTTCTATAGTCATAGAACTCTGAATCAGCCACGAAGCTCTGATTGATAAGATATTAAACAATATTGATTGATGACAGTTAAACAGAAATAACACCATTTCTGGGTTGCTCCCTGAAAGGGAGGGGCAGGCCATATGGATTCAGGACCCATATAGGTCCAAGGATGGCAGAGTTGCCTTACAGAGGCACCTGGGTTCCTGGCCCTTGGCCTGCCACACCAGTCCTGGACTGCTCAGTTCAAGACTGCGAGGTGAGATAGGTAGGAAAAGCCATCGATTATGTATAAACTACTGTTATTTGGGGTCTCTGTCAAGCAGTCAGGCCCCTATCCTGAGTCAGTGACTTGGGTTTTTAGTAGAACAGAGTCAGTTTTGGTTGAGAACATTGCCTCGATCCTCCAGCTCTTCTGTTTTCAATAGCCTTACTTCTCTCAGAGTCAGCTTCCGTGGACTCTCTGGGGCTTCCATTTAGGGTGGTGTCTTTTGGGGACTCTATAAAGAAAGAAAGGACTGTGATATTCAGACTTTTCACTTACAGTCACAAATCCTGCCCCCAAACCGTCACTCCTTTCAGCATTGCCGGATATCTCTGGCACGCCCCAGGGCTGACATCTGAACGAGGAAGGGTGTTTCTCAGACATGACTCTAGTGTTTGAATTTGTTGCTAGGACATCTGTGGAATTTCCATATTCTATCTTAGGAAAGAAATATCATTTTTCTTTGATGGTACATGCTTCAGCTAGAAATACAAGGAAAGCACTGTTTGCGGTGGCATTTTGGCAGAACTCTGAAGTGTGGCCTGGATCTGGGAACCCATAATCCAAGAATAAGGCACCATTGACGTACAAAATTGTTGAATTTGGATAGAAGCTAGGTTCAGCTCTGCTTATGAAGCTACTGTCTTGTGGGGTCAAAGGAGCTTATTTTTTTGAGCAAGTGTGTTTCACTGTTTTCAGGCAACTACCAAAATAATTATTTCCTGTGTGGGTCAGCAGGAGTGAGGTAATCCCAGGGAAAATGTTCCATTGTGCTTGCTGGGCTGGGCAGTGCAGTGGCTCCAGACATTCTCTTAAAGTAACAGTAATTCCTAATGGCATTGAACGCATGTGTCCCTGGGAGGGAAGTTTATTTTTCCATTTGATACTTCCAGGATTTTGTAATAGACATCAAATGAGAATATGCAACTACATACACACATATGCACACATACATTAACTCTTCCGGGGGTGCCCTTGACATGTTGGTTCATATCAATAGTGAATAGATGTTTTAGAGAGATCATTCTATATGAACCAAAACAATGCTTTCTGCTTCAATCAGTGTAAAAATAGAAACTTACCTTCTATTTGTTCATCTTGAGACACTTGAGGGGATGCTTTATTTGCTTCTCCTTCCCAATACTTACTAATGGGTCTATCACTGAATACAATTTTCATTAATCATTTGTTGAATTAATGAATAGAAGGAAATGAATCCCAGGAAGGAGATTAATACCTTGAAACCCAGCCAGGCATGGTGGCACACACTTGTAATCCCAGCTATTTGGAAGTTGAGGCTGGAGGATCCAGTTTGAATCCAGTCAGTGCAACTTAGTGAGACCCTGTCTCAAAGTATATAAATAAAAAGAGCTAGGGATGTATCCTGGTGGTAGACCTTCCCCTGGGTTCAAACTCCAGTGAAACCAAAGAAAAAACAAAAACTGACCTTTTCTAGTACTGTGTCATTGAGACAAGAGTTTGACAGAAGGAGCCCCTCGCTAGCCAGCACTAACACATCTCTGAGGAAACAAACTCTGTGATTCCAAAGATTAAACAATTCCGCTTCATACTGCCATCCATCCTGGAATCAGAGAAGTAGGCATGGGATTATCCACACCAGTTGTGAGATCCTGGCACTGCAAGTAGAGTGAATTGTGGCAGCTGGAATAACAGGTGGTAGACAATCAAACTAGGTCAAATGGGATACCACCTCTGGTCCACAAAGTAGAGGGATTTTTTGCATATACACCGTGTAATACTTCACTCTGCTTGCCTTGCACGACTGCTGGGGTAGAGGAGCTTAGAGTGTACATGATAGATTATAAAGCTGCATATTATAAGAGGGAGTGCTCATTACTAATCAATCCACTTACCAAATTTTTGTGGAGTGCCTACTTTGTACCAGCCCATATTGGTGCTGGAGTGCAGAGGTCAACAAGACAGACATTGCCCCCACTATTAAGAAGCGTAGCCAGAGGAAATAGAAACACAAACCAGTATATAAAATAATTGCAAATTCTGGCCATTTGTGAAAAATAAACTGGATATTGATGTAGGGAATAAATAGAAGTTCATAGCATGGTCAAAAAATGACTGTCAGGAGGAGGAGTGAGCCTTGGGAAATAATTGGGAAAGAGAAGATAATTCCACACAGAGGGAAGAATTCATGTTAAGGACATGTGGCCTAAAAGAAATGGTATTTTAGAGGATGAACAAAGCAAAACAAAACAAAATACTCATGAGTCTGCAGCAGAATAAGGGGAGAATCGCCTTAATTAGCAGAAGTCCTTCTAGGATTTTTGGATCCTCTGGATGCAATTTGCAAAAGCGGATGTTGAGTGTTTGAAGGATAGACAGGAGGCTTGAGTGTAGACCTTGCTCCCACTCTATGGGTAAGGCCTCATCTCAGCCTTTCTATATTCCACCCTGCTGAGTAATAGCAGAATGGAAAGTTGAAATTCATCTAAAATGCAAGAGAAAACCAAGTACTGTAAAGGGGGAAACTGTGAAACTTATGATTCTGCAGGAAAGGAGAAAAATCAAGGCTGGGAATGGCCATCCACACAAATTTTTATTTGGAACCGAAACTAAAGAGAATACCGATATTGACATCTATGATGTTCTTTTCGCTTTCTGCTCCTTGATTTTTCAGTATATAAACCATCTGGGAACTGTTCTCTCTTTGGGAGTCATTAAGATGTTGTCAACTTCCAGTGCTGAAACTATGGAATAGAGTGCTTGTGTATGTTTGTGTTTATCATCTACATGCAGGTGGATGAATACAGCCAGATGTACTGACTTACCCAGGGGTCCTAACTAGGAGTCCTGTGCAAATGTGGTTGGGAAAAAATTCCATCTTCATTTTTACTATCCTTTCTAACTTAGGCTTAACATTACAATGATATATTTGGGTAATGAACCAGTTATTTTAGCAGTGCTTGTGATTTTGTCATCAATAGAAATCACAGATATTTATTTTCATATGGCATTATAGTTTTTTTTGCAGTTATCTCAAATACTAACTTATGCTTATCACTATTTCAAAATTACAGAATTTATCATGCCATAGCTATATATTATTATTTTATGTGTTAGTAAACATGTTTATTACTATATAATGAAAAATATTTGTAGTGCTTATGAATTATTTGGAGGTGTAAGGGAAATCACTTAGAGAAATGAAAAGCAAGAAATAAAAGAAATAAAATCAATATAGGGTATGCTAATAAGCAAATTATCACTACATTCAAGAGAAGTTCACCCTTTCTGCATACCTCTGGAAGAATGTAGGAACATGTACAGAGATGCTCCATCCAAGGGCATCTATGCACCTGCTCCTAGCACCTCTGGCCAGGAGCTGCTCCTGGGTAAGTGAGTTCTCCATCACATGTGGCCTTTTTGAGCAACAGGACTGAGCATTACTATTATATTTTTTTTATTTCTCTAAGCCTTTTTTCATACTTTTATTGGTGTATTATAATTACTCATAATAGTGGAATTCATTGTTACATATTGATAGAGGCACATAATATAACAATATAATTCAACTAACATCATTCCCCAGTATTTCCCCATTTTCTCCCTTCCTCCTTCCCCTTGGTCCCTATTTTCTACTCTACTGATCTCCCTTTCTTTTCCAGTTTCCTCTTTAGCTTCCACATATAAGAGAAAACATGACCCTTGGTTTTCTGGGTTTGACTTATTTTTATTAACACAATGTTTTCAAATTCCATTCATTTTCCTGCAAAAGATATAATTTCATTCTTTTTTATGGCTGAGTAAAACTCAAATTTTTTTTACATATCCCACATATTCTTTATTCATTCAACCATTAATAGACCCTTCAGCTGGTTCCAGACTTTGGCTATTGTGAATTGTGCTACTATAAACATGGGTATGTATGTATTGCTGTAGTATGAAGACTTTTTCTTTTTTTTTTTAGTTGTAGTTGGACACAATACCTTTATTTTATTTATTTTCATATGGTGCTGAGGATCGTACCCAGCACTTCACACGTGCTAGATGAGAGCTCTACTGCTGAGCCATAACCCCAGCCTTAAGACTTTCATTTTTTTTTGGATAAATAACAAGTAGTGGTATAGCTGGGTCATGATGGTTCCATTCCTAGTTTCTTGAGGAGCCTCATACTGATTTCCATACTGGTTGTACTAATTTACAATCCTACCAACAGTATAAAAGTTTTGCTTTTTCTCTACATCCTCTCTAAAATTTATTATTGTTTCTATTGTTGATGACTGCCATTCTGACTAGGATGAGATGAAGTCTTAGTGTAGTTTTGATTTACATTTTCTTAATTACTAAAGATTTTGGATAGTTTTTCATGTATTTGTTACTCATTTGTATTTCTTCTTTTGAGAAGTATCTGTTCAATTCATTTGCCCATTTATTAATTGAGTTATTGGGTTTTTTTTGGTGTTAAGTTTTTTTGAGCTCTTTTTAATATTCTTGTTTATCTTTTCAAAGGACCAACTCTTCATTTCATTGATCTTTTGTTTTTTCAAAATTTTCTATTTTGTCAATTTTGACTCTGATCTCAATTATTTCTTTCCTTCTATCACTTTTGGAATTAGTTTATACTTGTTTTTCCAGGGCCTTGAGATGCATAATTGTTGTTTATTTGAGGTATTTTGATTTTCTTTTGTACGCAGCCATCTTTTGTAGGCAGTCATAGCTTTAAATTTACCTCTTAGAAATACCTTCATAAAATCCCAAAGGTTCTGGTATGTTGTATCATTATTCTTGTTTGATTCAAAGAATTTTAAAATTTCTTCTCTGATTTCTTCCATCATCCATTTATGATTTAAAAGTGTATTGTTGAGGCTGGAGTTGTGGGACGGTGGTAGAGCACTTACCTAGCATGTGTGAGGCACTGGGTTTGATTCTTAGCCCACATATAAATAAACAAAATAAAGTCCATTGACAACTTAAAAAAAAAGTGTATTGTTCAATCTCTATGTGCTTGTACAGTTTTTGTAGAGTTTCTTTGGTGTTAGTTTCTAATTTCATTCTATTATGATCTGATAAGATGCAAGGATCATGTGTTTTTGTATTTGCTAATAGTTGCTTTGTCTAAAAAATATGGTCTGTTTTGAGAAGGTTTCATTCGCTACTGAGAAGAAAATGTATTCCTGTTGTTGGGTGAAATATTCTATACATCTGATTTAAGTTCATCTGATTTATGATCCTTTTTCAGATTCAAAGAGTCTTTACTGAGTTTGTCTTGATAATGTATCTATTGGTGAGAAAGGTGCGTTAAAATAACTTATTTTGTACTGAAGTCTTTATTTCCAGTAGTGTCTGTTTTATGTAATTAAGTGTACCACTATTTGGGGCATAAATACTTACTATCATTGTATCTTCTTTTTGGATTGTTCCCTTTACCAGTATGAAGTGAACTTCTTTGTCTCTTTTGATTACTTTTGGCTTGAATTCTGCTTTGTTGAATGTGCGAGTAGCCACTCCTGTTGTTTTCAAACTCTATTTACATAGCTGCCAGTTTCCCTGCTTTCACTTTCAGCCTCTGATTGTCTTTGCCCATAAGGAGGCCAGTCTCTTGCAGACAATACATAGTTGGGTCTTTTAAAATTGTTTATTTATTTATTTTTGATACTAGGGATTGAACCCAGGTATTCTTAACCACTGGGCTACATCTTCAGCCCTTTTTATCTTTTATTTTGAGACAGAGTTGTGCTAAGTTGCTTAGGGCCTTGATAAGTTGCTGAGGCTGCTCTTAAACTTGCGATTCTCCTGCCTCAGCCTCCCTGGTCACTGGGATTACAAGTATGCACCATTGTGCACAGCAAGGGTCTTATATTTTAATCCATTTGCCAGACTGTGTCTTTTAACTGGAGAGGGGAGACCATATACATTCAATGTTATTGTAGGGAGATGTTTATTAATTCTTGCCATTTCGATTTAGTCCTAGTGTTTAATTCAGTCCTGTTTCACATTTCCTTGGCTGTCTTCAAAGGAGATTTGCTCATTTGTGAGCTCTGGGGTTTGTTTTAGATTTCTTCTGTAGGAAGCCTTTCTTTAAGTAATTTTTTTCTAGTTCTGGCTTAGAAGTTATGAACTCTTTTAATGTCTGCTTGTCTTGTAAGGTTGTTTTGTTTTTGTTTTTCTCCTTCAAGGATAGTTTTGTTGGATATAGTAATTTTGGTTGATTGTTATTTTCTTTCAGGACTTGTAATACATCATTCCCAGGCTGCCTGGATTTCAGAGTTTGTGCTGAGAAATTAGAAGTAATTTTCATCAGCTTGTTTCTAAATGTCATCTGATGTTTTTTATCTTGAGACTTTTAAAATTCTATCCTCATTCTGTATGTTAGGTGTTTTAATTATAATGTTTTGTGGAGAGGTTCTTTTTTGATCTTGTCCATCTGGGGTTCTGAATGCATCCTGTATCGCGATGTCCATCTCATGCTCAACGTTTGAAAAATTTTATGCTGTTATTTTCCTGAAGAGGTTATCTATGCCATTAGCTTCACAACCTTTTTTTTTGATTCTAATGACTCTTGAATTTGGGATCTTAATTTTGTCCCAGAATTCCTGTATATTCTGGTTATGGTTACTCATTGAATTTTATTTAATAGTATCTAAATGTTCAAGGCTGGCCAATTTGTCTTTGGCTCTGACATTTTATCTTCAGCATGGCTTACTCTATTAAAGAGATTTTCAGGTGATTTGATTTACTGTGTCTTTCATTTCTAAGATTTATGTTTGGTTATTTTTCAATATCTCTAACTTTTTATTGAATTTCTCATTCATATCCTGTATTGACTTCCTTAAATCATTCATTTGTTTTTCTGTGTTCTCTTGGAATTATCATTTTTATAATCATTCTTTTGAATTCTTTATCTGATATTTCATCTACTTTGATCTCTTTGGAGAGTTTCTGGTGAATTATTAACTTCAGGAGGCAACACATTAAAGGTAATGAGATGGTTATGAAATGTGAAAAAATAAGTTTTTAAAAAAACTTATTTTAAAAACTTATTAAAAAAATCTTTCTTGTATTCACATATTGTGTTTTATGTATCTGTTGGAATGGATTTCTTTTTAATTCTTATCTTTTGCCTTTTTAGGGCAAAATCTTTTGTTGCCAGAGTGTTTTGGGATATCAGGGTGTTAGGAATTTGTCTATATATTTCCATGTGGGTTTTATAATATAGTTTCCATGCTAGTTCCTTGGTAATGATTACTGTATTTTGATAGTGTGTATTTCATCATGATGAGCTTGAGAATCTCACTTTTCCTAAGTCTCAGATGAGTGGGGTCCTTCTTAAAGGTCTGGAAATCGTGTTGCATACAACAATGCAGCATATATGGGGAGCAGCCTCTGTGTTTGATCTTCCTTACTCAACTCTGTATATTCTAAAGTGATGTAGACTGAGACTCTTCTCAGGTTTAGAGTCCACAGCCTTTTATTAATTTTCTATTTTTGCTATAGGAGTGGATGTCCGTGAGTGGGACCTGAGGGACCCCCTAGCCACTCCTACTTGGGGCCTAATTATTAGTTTGGGATTTTTTGTCTCTTTTATTCTTTGTATTAAGTATCATTGAAGTCTGAGTGTGGTTAGTTTGTGTGTAGGGCAAGGTGCTGGGTTTAGTTCAGCAGCAGAATCTCTATCCTGTGACTTTTAGTGTCATAGTTGGTTTCCAGAACCTCACAGAAAAGTGGGAAACAACAGCAACAAAGAGCAAAATACAGCCTTCAAATAAATATCCAGTGTTTACCATGACATATATAACACTAATTACCACAAAAACAGGAGCAGGGGGGTCAGATATTGTCAACAGCAAAGCAGTAAATAGCTTTACGGCTGTGAACTGTATCTGGCATTAAAGTAAACAGCAGGTGACAACTATACCTCCCACAGTACTAATAACTATAATATGAATGATGGGGAAAACAGTTATATAACCCAAATAGTTCTAAAAGATAGTAAACATGCAGTTCATTAAATTAAATGATAGGAAGGAAGTAGGAGGTTTAGAATGTTCAAAATGTGAACAGATAGACATCAGAGGTGAATGAGCAAGTGATGGTTATAAAGAAGGAGGAGAAAAAAAGGAACAAACTACATAAAGAGAAAAAGAGAATTTGTCTCTTAGAGGGAAAAGAAAGGAGAGAAAGAGAAACAAACTGAAATAAAACAAAACCGAATTAAGTAAACAAAACCCAACCCTCAAAAGACAAGGCAAATAACAAATCATTAAAAAGTGAGAAAAATATAAAAATATATGTATATATATCCATGAACCAATTAGCATTGCAAGGGAAAAAAAGAGGGAAAAAGATTACTAAAGAAAAATTTTAAGAATTGTCTCCATTGGGGTCGAAAATG